AATTTTACCCTTTAAAGGATTAATTTTACCCTTAAAGGTGGAGTACTTGACTGTTTTGTTTCATAAATACATTTGTTGGTCCTAACTGAAAGAGTCTTGTTTAAGCAACATGCTGCCTTCATCAAATTGGAATATATTTTATATTTTACCTCCTGAGAGCTGATTGGCTTGTAAAAACTAGTGATGGTACCAAAATGTTTTCAGAGCTAAGGAATGTTCATCTTGTCTCTGAAGTATGTACTCTAGTTTTGATATCTTGGAACTAATTTCATGGATTTTATCGGATGTGGTTCCAAAAGTTAGGTATTCCAGTTTTACCAGATTTATATTAGACCCAGTGTTCACATTGGACTGAACACTAGGTCTACAAACTGTCCCTTTATATATTACCAACAAAAATCATTATTTTTTTTTATTTGCAAAGTTGGTTTGCCTATGATGGCTCAGGCCCAAAGGGTACTGTGTTCTATAATTGGTCTTGCAGAATACCATTACACACACACACACACACACAAACACACACACACACACACACACACACACACACACACACACACACAATTACATACATACTGTGCAGATCATTTGCAACAACTCTAATCAACTTTTTCGCTCCCAGTGTCGTGACCTTCAGTAGCATGTAGTGATGGAAAGTGCAACAGGCAAAATGGTCGCCAGGCAACCAGCTCTGTATTTGGTCTCATTTGCACGATGTGGAGTGTGGGGTGTTGAAGACTGCAGGTGGGTGGACAGAGGAGGGAAGTCCACTGTTTTAGAAGGCAAAAGCTAAACAATTCTCAAATATTGATATTTTATTGAACGCTGTCTCTAAGACCTTTTTTTTTCTCAGAGCATAATGCAGTATTCACAATAGGGAAATAAGTGGGTGATAATGTATGATCTCAGAGCCAACTGAGATGAACATTGACAGACTTGGCAAAGCACTCAACCCACGTCAGTAGATGCGTGGGGGTTAAAATCATCAAAAAGAACAAAAATAGCAAAAGATTGACACAGTCTTTTCCAACTGGGATTGGAGAATACAATGGGATGTTTTAGGGATATATTTATATTTTGGGTATATATTTATGGATTCAGGTGCTAGCCCAAAGTCTGGTCTAAATGTGTCTCCTAATCACTTTCGCTGGGGTACTGAACTTTCAAATCACACAATATTTAACTACAATCCGTCTCACTAGTTTCTAGCTCTAAACATCATCACTAGTTTTTACATGCGTGTATTTTTGGCCTTTGTCACATCTTTAGGTGAGATTATATAGGACCACCCTCACTTAGCTCTCAGTCCAAACCATATTTTCTAATCATAAACTTTAACAAAGTTGGGACAAACAACATATATAATTTGTGGGAGGAGCTAATGAGTACACAGTTTTTTAGGGTCATTCCACTTGAGATAATTCTTCATAAATGTACTGCAATGTGTGTGAAAATAACAATACTTTTACAATGAATCTTTGGTTTTAATGTCATTTTGAGAGTAACTCATGATCATTACATTATTATTTTTTTCTGGGTGGATGTCCTGCAGTCTGCTTGTGGCCATCCCTTAACCCTGGCCTTATTAGACATATAACATTGTAAAATATAAATGTGTACATCGTTCAATATTCATGGTTTGTGGGTTTAAACTGCAGCGCCAGGAGGTTATGCAGGAGATAATGAGCTGGGTTAAGGGAGACAATGTCAAACAAGGTGAGCGAAATATGGAGGAGATGAGAAAATGAAGGAAGTCTGCAAGCAAGTTACCTTTGAACCCCAGTGTGTCAGAGGATCCCATTTTCTATTAGTCCAGGGTTCAGAGACACCATGTAACTCGCCCTCCTCTGCTCCCTGCTAACACCGTTTAATATACCATTAGAACTTTCTCATTATAACACAACATATTTAATACAATTTAAATCAATCCATCCATCCATCCATTTTCTACCCTTTAATCCATTTCTGGGTCAGGGGGGTGGCAGTCAGAGATGCCACCCAAGTCTCATAGCACCAGCCCCTCACTGACCCTCTGCAGGTGGTGAGTCCACAGGAGGATGGCTGCTCTCTGAGTGTGAGCATAGCCTTGATCTTTCAGCTGGGGCTTTTGGGCAAAGTGGGGTTAAGTGTCTTGCCCAAGGACACAACGACAGCAGTCATCAGTGGGAGTCGGTGGAGAAGGTGCAGAGGTGGGAATTTAAATCAATATTAGGGAAAATAGCGCAAGTATATTGTGCTACTTATTTTTTATTTATTTGTTTATTGTTTATTAAACAATAAACAAAGGCCAACGCCTTCTCCAAATCCACAAAGCACATGTGGACAGGTTGGGCGAACTCCCATGAACCCTCGAGTATCCAACGGAGAGTATAGAGCTGGTCCAGTGTTCCGCGACCGGGACAAAAACCACACTGCTCCTCCTGAATCCGAGATTCAACCATCGGCCGTAGCCTCCTCTCCAGTACCTTGGAGTAAACCTTACCAGGGAGGCTGAGACTTTAGATAGTCAGGACGGATCTCATCCACTCCCGGCGCCTTGCCACCATGGAGGCTGCCAACCACCTTGGTGACCTCTGCCAGGGAGATTTAGGTAGCCGCCCCAACATCCTCAGCCTCTGCCTCCAGGGCGGAGGACGTGACGGGGGGATTGAGGAGAACCTCGAAGTATTCCTTCCACCGCCCGATAATATCCCCAGTTTAGGTCAGTAGCCCTCCACCCGCACCGTACACAGTGTTGGCAAAGAACTGCTTCCCCCTCCTGAGGCGCCGGACGGTTTGCCAGAATCTCTTCGAGGCCGACCGATAGTCATGCTCCATGGACTCTGCGAACTCCTCCCAGCTCCTCCCAGTCCCGGGTTTTTGCCTCTGCAACGGCCCGGGCCGCGGCGCGCTTGGCCTGCCGGTACTGGACAGCTGCCTCAGGAGTCCCCCGAACCATCATTGCTCGATAGGACTCCTTCTTCAGCCTGACAGCTTCCCTTACTGCCGGTGTCCACCACCGGGTTCAGGGATTGCCGCCGGGACCAGCACCAGAGACCCTGCGACCACAGCTACGAGCCGCCGCATCGGCGATAGAGGAAGAGAACATGGTCCACTCGGACTCAATGTCCCCCTCCTCCGCAGGGACCTGGGAGAAGCTCTCCCGGAGGTGTGAGTTGAAAGTCCGTCTGACAGGGGGCTCAGCGAGACGTTCCCAGCAGACCCTCACTATACGCTTGGGTCTGCCAGGTCTGACCGGCTTCCTCCCCTGCCAGCGGATCCAACTCACGACCAGGTGATGATCGGTTGACAGCTCCGCCCCTCTCTTCACCCGAGTGTCCGAGACACGCGGTCAAAAGTCAGATGATATGACAACAAAGTCGATCATCGACCTCCGGCCTAGGGTGTCCTGGTGCCACGTGCACTGGTGGACACCCTTGTGCTCAAACGTGGTGTTCGTGATGGACAAACCGTGACTGGCACAGAAGTCCAACAACTGAACAATGCTCGGATTCAGACCGGGCGGGCCGTTCTTCCCAATCACCCCTCTCCAAGTGTCACTGGCATTTCCCACATGGGCGTTGGAGTCCCCGGTTGGTGCACCGTCCAGTACCCCTCTGCACTGCTGTTAGGCCCGTAGGCCGTCACAACAGTGAGAGACTTGTCCCCCACCCGAAGGCGGAGGAATGCGACCCTCTCATTCACCGGGGAGAACTCCAACACGTGGCGGCTGAGATGGGGGGCAATGAGTATGGCCACCCCAGCTCGCCGCCTCTCCCCGCGAGAAACACCAGAAAAGTGGAGCGTCCAACCCCTCTCAAGGAGTTGGGTTCCAGAGCCCAAGCTGTGTGTGGAGGTGAGGCCGACTATCTCTAGTCGGTATCGCTCGACCTCCCCACGAGCTCGGTCTCCTTCCCCCCTAGTGAGGTGACGTTCCACGTCCCAAGAGCCAGATGTTGGGTGTGTGGACTGGGTCGTCGAGGTCTCCGCCTTCGACTGCTGCCCAGTCCTCTCTGCACCGCGCCACCACGGACCCCTCTGCAGGTGGTGGGCCCACAGGAGGAGGCATATTAAAAACATAGAGAATAAAATCACCGGCTGAAAGCTCATTTTCAGCCGTATATTGCCTGGGCAGAGGCAAAGTGATTCTAAAATGTATACATAAAATATTTATATTTATTATTGTCCTATTGCCTGAACTGTTCAATCCCTCGACAATTCCACTGTAAAACAAGTTGTGATGAATTAAGCTACGACTATCCTTTATCACCAGCACTAGACCTAGTTTTCTGAGGTAGCCAATTATAATACTAAAGCTAAATTGAATTTGGTTCCAGCCCTGTGATTGTTCTTGTCTCTCCCCATTCATTCTTCTGAATCACCTCGAAACTAATACAGATACAAAGTCATTGGCATGGCAGTAATTATGCTTAACAAATCATAACATTTTGATTACGTTTTTACAGAGGCAGTAGCTTCTTCACCCTAGCTCAATACAGGCGCATTAATTGGCGTTGTGTGAGTGGCTGTAAGTGCCTTGTAATGTCTGCGTTGATGACATAACTCTGCTTCAATGTGTGCATCACCTCAATACTCGCACACCTTGTTTCCAGTTTAATTATTTCAAACTGTTATCAAATTGTTTCTTATGGCATTTCTGAGTGCATGTCGTTTCTGTTTGTGTGACCTTAAATTGATTCATGTCTCACAGGCTGTGTTTGTAATCAAATAGTATAATATAGTATTTATACTTCTATACCAGTCAGTCTGGGTTCCATCCGTGCTCGGTGTTGTTTTTTTCATCAAATTAGGGCCCATAGTACTTTGAGGACATTGTGTTAATATTCATTGTGGAATTTTTATTCTGTTCTTGTTATACTTCTGATTTATTGTGTACCAATTATCAGTCGTTTACTTTGCATGTGAACTGTCTAACCATTCAACAGCAGATGCACATAGTACATCTACAGATAACTATAAGTTTGTACAATAGTTTTAAGCTAATATTCTGTGTGTGTTTCCAGGATGGTTACTCTCAGTATCACTTTGTGGGATCTGCTTCAACGATAGAGAGGGACAGGCAGAGGCCTTACTCATCGTCGCGGACCCCCTCTGTCTCTCCTGTCAGGACGTCTCCAAATAACCGCTCTGGTGAGCATCACACAAGGCCTCCACACTCACAGTGTCAGGGTCCTCTGCTCTGTCAGCGCAGAAACAGTATATAAGTCACAGAAAGTCGGCCAAATACTTGTTTGACCAGTGACCTCAGCTATAGTCCATATTTGTGCAAATAATGGAAATATTATGTATTAAACATGCTTATTAGAAACACTTAGAAACACTAAATGCTTGCATACATTATTCTGGGTTAATGTCAGATAAACTCAAGTTCCAGTTAATAGAAAAATTAAAATAAGAACAGAAAGGATTCTTTAGCTAAGCCAGTAGAGTCAACACACAGACAATCTGTCTTAAGCTAACAACTGTTAGCAGCAGTGCTCGCCACCCACAAGTTCTCACCCAGTGAGGTATGATTATATGGCTATAGCTTTTAGCTGGAGCCCACTGGCCTTCATGCTCTGCATAGGGCGCACTAGCTTTAGCTGTTAGCATCAGTGGTAGAAAGGCCTTTGGCAGTGCTTTCTCCACACTGGGCTTAGCAAGCTGATGAGGCAGAAAAATACTTTTCCTTCCTCCCGGCTTAGAGAGGTCTTCAAGGACCCAGAGAAGAGAGGGAGGGGAAGCCATATCTGTTGTGTGTGGACTGAAAAAGAGGAAGGAGAGATAAACAAGAAGAGAAAGCACAAAGTAGGCACAAAGAATTGTGTTGATAGCAGGACGGTTAATGCAGTGAGTATGCTTATGGTGATGAATTGACATTTCCCAATGTCATTGGAAATATAGGTTTTTTTTAGATTTCAGAGAGACATTTGTTTTAGAGGAGTTGATGACAGAAAAGCCTCCTCACCTCTTACTTATCTCATCCTCCCTTTTGTCTCTCCAGTCATCCGCACAGAGCCATCAGAGTGTCTCATTCCCCTCCTTTTGGTAATCATGCTTTCTTCTCACCTCGCGCTCTCATTTCTCACCCTTCACTGGCCGGCTCAGCGCTTTCTCACACACTTACAGTATGCGTGCGGCCATATGCATCTCTATCTCTTCTCTGCATATGTCTGCCATTCAGCCCCTCAGAGATGGATCAAAGCAGTAGGAGTAATGATGTGCGTACAGCCAAACTGCGAGAGGAGTCAAAGAGCTGGGGAAATGCACCATGGGACAAAAATTTGCATGGAGGTCAAATGGGAAGCTATAAAGAGATACTTTTGCATCTATTATTGCAATACCTCCCTACCTTTCATACGCTCTTGAACTATTACACTCAATATGACACAAGTTGAAGTTAAAGCAAGTGTTTGTAACATTATTTATTACCAATAGATGGCTAATACAAAACCCCAGGCCTTTGTTCATACTTATCTGGGCTTTTTTCAAACGCTTCTTAGTTTCTTTCTCATTTGGTGGAGCATCTTATCAACAATATAATCAATGAGGAGTTTTAAACTCCTGTTACTTATTTTTTCAAGTACTAAAGACGTATGTGGAGGAACGAGAGTGATGCCCTCAGCACAAGGGATTGTAGGGTTTTAGGGTCAAAGAGTGTGTGTATATACAGGTATATATAGTAAAAATGAGATATATATATATTTTTTTTTTCTAAAGCTTTTGGTTTGATATGGCTCTTGAATATTCTGCATATGAGTCAAGTAGAGGAATGTTTGGCGAAGCAAACTAAAGAGGCTGATACACAGGTAGGCAGGACAGTGGCAATTCACCGTGTTTAGATAACAGACCCTGAGCAAGCAGTTTAGGACACTAAAGCAGGATTAGAATGAGAGGGAGAATAAGCAGTAAACTATATAAATATATAAAAGGGTGTGTGCCCGTCCTCAGTGTGTCACAAAAGGTCTGTTCCATTTATTACTTCTTTATAGATCCATGCGTAGGTACATTTTTGAGACATGGTGAAAGAACTAGTGATTAGAGTCTTGTTAGCTTTGACCTTGTGGAAAATATATAATTTACCCTTCTATCTGTGAAGAAGTAACTCGTGTTTAGTTAGTAATCTTTAGTTATATTGCGCCTTTCTTAGGCAGAATCATAAACCATAAAATACATGTTACTGAAATTGGCTTTAGCTAGCTTAAATTGTTCAAATCGGCCTCTCTGCATTCGGCAAACACTATAGGTGATGCCAGCATTCGGTTTGTCCACTCGGTCTATCAACGTAACATGTAAAATCTACGTTTGTACCATGTTATAGTTGTTTTCAAATCCATTCATGCATCTCCTGAGTCACCATTTTACTTGCAATTTTCTTTGCTGAATCTCCCATGGATACAAGGATGATTCAGCAGCGCTGAGTCTTAAATGGATGATGGGGTGAAAAAATCCACTACTGTAATTTAGTGGCTTGTGGTCTATGAGGAGGCAACAATTAATTTGATGTGACCATATTTCAACTGTGTTTAACATAAAAGTGCAGAACGCAACATTTTCAAAGCGATTTCAAATGCACTAAATATAGACTTGGGAGCAATAGATTCTTACTATTATGTGCCACCTGTATGTGAAAGCCTGATCCAGTCAAATCCCTGAAACTAAGCCAGGTAGGGCTTGGTTAGTGGTGTGATGTGTGACCTCAGGGAGCACAGTGCACAGTGGGGCGGCTACAGCTATAAAATGCCAAACTGACGTTGTGACTCTTCACTCACATTGCCTTGTCTGAGTTTGCTGTGTGCATAGATGATTTGTGGGCATCTGTGGCTACAACCACAATGGTGTAAATGGTAGCCACATTCACTCTGTTGTGGTAATAAGCGTGGAAAACGACTGGGGAATCCTAAAGCAAACAGAAGCAGTATTTAGGACAGTTGCCTTTAATAATATTTCACACATATACTCAAAGACCGGGATAGTATTGACCAAATTGGAAGCAACAAGCAACAAGAATGAATTTCACATTTACTTTATTGTTCAAATGTCTTGCTTTTCAAAGTCTAAATATAGCAGAAATCATATGGCATAGAAGCAGATGATTTGATATTCAGCCCATGCCTCTGAATGTATGAGAGAATTCCCAGGCGTTTTTAAACATGTTGTAGGTGACCCTTTCCTCTGACAAGCTAAATGATGAATAATGACTGTGCACCTTGAGGACCCGGACACACAAAAGCCCATTATACTGTGAAAGCTCCTGCTGTCTCCTCCTTTGCCTGATTATTGCTCACTGTGTTGCGTTTGTGCGTGCTGGTGTGTGTGTGCGTGTCTGTCTTGGCATGGGTGTAGCGAGCGCCCCAGCCTCCCCCCGAGAGATGATGAGTCTGAAGGAACGCAAGATGGACTACGACTCCACCGCGACCAACGCCGGTTTCCATAGCAGCAAGGGAGAGCACACGTCCCGCAAAGACGGCATGGCAGGTGCGTTTCAAGATCTGGAGAAATTAAATAGAGCGGTTTTATCTTTGCTCTTAATCTTCCTTTTGCCACAGTTTTCCTCCAAGATTTCTCATCTCACTCTTTGCCCTTTATTGTCTCATTCTGCACCTCACACCATTTTTCTTTTGCTCACTGATATATCCCTTGATTTCCTTTATCTCTTCCGCTCTCTTCCCTATTCCAATATGAGTTGCGGGGTTTCCCAGCTGTCTCCTCACACCTTCCATCTCTAAACTTCAAATGCATTTTTTGGCTTTCATATTGATCTAACAGAAAGTAGATATACTAGCAGATGTTTCATATTTATTTTTCTTCCTTTCAGTTCAAATATCCTGTGGGACGTCTACGCTATTCAGAAACTCCTACCTGACGACCAGTGATGATATCAAACAAAACCAGGTGAGTTTCAGGAATTAGTGTATAGTGTGATACATACGGGCACATAGATGTATAGCAGCTTACTCATCCATTTGAAAATATGAGTAGATTGTGATTACAGAAACCTGGGCGTACATTGTGCAATTTCTTGATCAAAAATGACTCTCACATGTGCGTGTGTGAGTATGAGCGCAGGGACTTGTTTGATATTTGTCGAAGGTCTGTCAAAGCAGTGCGCGACTAAACTACAGTTGCAGACGGGAGTACCCTCGGCTCTGAAGGAGGCAACAACAAAACAACAAGCAACACAACTTTAGAATAGATCAGTGACAGAGGTGGCAAAGTTACTACTCTTAGGTACTGAAATGAAAGCATACATTAAGGTATTTGTTTATACCATATTTCCTTGACTTTCTCTTAGATGTGACTATTTGACGAGAAACGAAAAATAAAAAAAATACTATGGTACATTTGTGTTGTTCGATGGGTTGTATAAATAGATGAAAGAAGGACGTTTCAGTTTTCATTAACTCGGTAGCTACTTTGAAGTCACCTCATACAAACTTTGAGCCAAAATCACATGAACTTCACTCTTATCACTCTAAATTTGTGATAGTGGTATGTCACTGTGAACTGTTTATTCCAAATGAAATGTCAGTCAAAGTACTGAAATCATTCTAAAAAGGGATGAAGCACACACTGACATTATCCCAATTCTCTTTCACCCATTCAACACAAAACAACACAATACAATACTCTACAAGACATATATTGTGCTCAATACACTACCAGTGTTACGCAGCACACACACAAACACTAACTTCTGAAACACTTGTACCCAACTTACACTCAGCAATGCACGTAACATAATGTTGGCAAAACATAGGTAGAACCACATGTAGAAAGAGTTACTTTTACACCAGAAATGCTCATCCTGTTCCCTTTCCCTGCCCTCCACATGGTCTTAAATCAGGATACATGTAAAAAAAAAAAAAAAAAAAAAATAGAACTCAATCCTATGGAAGCCCGTTTCCGCCATGTAAAAAAAAAAAAAAGCCTACAGAAAGTCAAAATTTTGACTTTAAAAGTCAAAATTTCGACTTTTAAAAGTCAAAATTTCGACTTTAAAAGTCAAAATTTCGACTTTAAAAGTCAAAATTTCGACTTTAAAAGTCAAAATTTCGACTTTTAAAAGTCAAAATTTTGACTTTAAAAGTCAAAATTACGACTTTAAAAGTCAAAATTTCGACTTTAAAAGTCAAAATTTCGACTTTAAAAGTCAAAATTTCGACTTTTAAAAGTCAAAATTTCGACTTTAAAAGTCAAAATTATGAGTTTTCAACTGCGCATGTGCAGTTGAAAACTCGTGTGTGTTGTTGTCTGGAACGGTCTCTGGACGTCCTTCACCTGCAGATTATGTGAAGATATTGCTGACAGCGACCACTGCATCCTTGAAGTAGCCAGAAATAATGTTGTTTGATTGATTCTGTAAAACGTTCCTGTTTAAGCCCCAGACCGCGGTCGTAGGAGGCAGGGAGGAGCTGTCTTTTTATTTATTTATGTTAAATTCAATTTACATATATACAGCATTTAAATCAAACGACTTCTTATTTCGACATAGTAACAAATAATGTGAGCAATACGTTTTTATAATAAATCAAAGGAAAATGAGCCATCGAGACATTCCAATCCAATCTGCTGTAGACCACTCTGACCAGACGATGGCGCTGAGAGGGGTCCACACGGAGCGAGTCTTTCCACGGCTGAAAGGATGCGCTTTCTACGTGTTGAGTATGGGGTTTTATTCATGCATCTATAATGGGTTTATCTATTTCTAACCCTTTTCAAAGACCCTCACTGTTATCTGCGGAGTTATTTCTCCGGATTGTTGCTAAAAGAGTCGTGGGCTTTATTTTGTCACAATAAAATAATCAGACAAGGTACTTATTCCCTGTATGTCTCTGTGTTCTTGCTCATACGCCAACAACTTTACCACACGCTCGCTCCATCAGCTCACCCCCGCGTGCACGCAAACACGTCACATACTCTTCAATGCACTGATCGCAATTCCAAAAGGGTATTATTGTCAGTGCCCGTGACTGTGGTTCTCCTGCCTCTGTCTGTGGTTGTCCTGCCTCTGTCTGTGGTTCTTCTGCCTCTGTCTGTGGTTCTCCTGCCTCTGTCTGCAGAACTCTCTCACTGTCCTGTAATCGCGAACGGTCTCTCTGTCAGTCACAATATTATTCACTGCATTTCTGGTGCATCCATCGATAGCCGTGATACTGACCAGATGTCACCAGTTGATGCTCAATGACTTTGAACAGCCGCATGTGTTTTATTATTAATCTTCCACAGTCCGTTTAGGATAAACTAAATAGAGGCTTCTGAAGCGGATTCTAATCATAAACGGAGAGACCGTTTGCATTTTAACGCGATTACTACCACTACATTATTGGTGTATAAGTCGAAATTTTGACTTTTAAAGTCAAAATTTTGACTTTCTGTAGGCTTTTTGGCTTTTTTTTTTTTTTACATGGCGGAAACGGGCTTCCATACAATCCTATCCATAGTGACACTTACTCATAATTACTCTTGTTATATGCACGCGTTTATAACTGCTGGTGTAAATTGTCAGGCTCATTACAATCAAAAGCTATTCTTGGACGTGACCTGCGTATGCCTTTCTGTCCCGAAAATACACATCCAAATAAAAAATAAATAAAATAAATACTGTTCTTAATTTTCATACTGGCATATAGTATGACAACAATTAAAACAGAAATTGCAAATATGGCCAACCAAAATTCAATAATTAACTAAGAAGCATGGCTAACTTCCATCTGCAAAGTATATTCATTTTAACATGTATGAAGATTTGCACATCAATTACTACAGGTCGGGTGCGTTGGAGGAGAGGACTGAAGGGCCAAAAGAATCATTCCCACACAGGTTCTTACTTGCAAAACTAAAATGTATTGGGATTGCTATGACGTAGAAAGAAGATATAGGAGTAAAAAATACTTAGTGACAAACCATCTTTGCTCATCGAACGAAAGAAATGCCAGTGACACCTTTAAAATACAGCTTACTCACAGTAACATTAACACAATGTTATGAGTTTAAACAGTTTTTTCATTCATGAGACGGTGGGCCTGCACAAATGTTCCTCGTACAGTGTGACACATATCTGAGTATTGCTCTGTAAAGTGCACACACCATCATCAGCAACTTATGGTATTTTTAACTTATGAGATTCAATCGCACAATGTGAGGGAATCATTTGAAGCATACAATCACGAGAAATCACACAGTGTATGACCAGTTTAAGGGAAGGAGAGAATCCAATAGCCTTAATCTGATCCAAAATATACCTCATTTGGATGTAAATGTGCTGCTTTAAGTATTATTTTAGATGTAGATATTTTTGTGCCATAATCGCTGTGGCTTCAGGCAAACACATATCCTGTCTTTGGAAGTCAGTGAGCTGCAGATGAGCCCTTGCCTTCAATACCTGCATGAAAAGGAGGATTCACAGCATGCCTAACCCATCCTATTTGATTCCTATCGAAGCCATTTTTTACCCTCTGTACTTGCTTTTCAAACCCGGGATTGTCCTGCTTGCTGTGTATCTGACACTGGCCTCTCCGCTTCTGTCTATCTCCCTCATCATCCCCGCATTTCTCGTTCTCTGCCTTTCTATTTTTGCCTTTTCCATCCCTACCACCACCACCCCCACCACCACTCCTCTCTCCTGCAATTTGCTCCACACAACCTTTTACCAGGCTCCTGCTCAGCCCTGTGTCGTGCCCCCCCAACCCCAGCAGGACAGCCCATCAGCGGCCGTGCTAAAAGACTACGACTCCTATCCTCCCCCTCCTTCCTTCCCGCAGCCTCAGCCGCCGCAGCCGCCTCCTCACAGCCAGAGCCGCAGCTTTGACGAGGCCTTCTACGACGACCAGGGTCCCCCGCCGCCACAGCCACCGTCCCAACCGCAACCCCAGGTCCCGGCACAAGCTCAGCCCCAGGCCCAACCCCAGCAACCCCCCAACTCTACCGGACCTCCGCGCGACCCGAGAGAGGACCTGCGAATGCACCTGGGGCTTAAATCCACGGGGAACTACGTAGACTTCTACTCAGCCTCTAGGCCGTACAGCGAACTGAACTACGAGACCAGCCACTACCCGGCCTCGCCTGACTCTTGGGTGTAATCTACTTCAAAAAACTCAAAAAAAAATCAAGTGCGGGGCGAGAGACTGCGTGTGTATGTACTGTATGTGTGTGTTGGAAAGGGATTATTTTTGCAGCAAACTCAAGGTTACAGTACAGGTGCAGTGGCGTTTTAATAGTAAAGTTAAAAGACAGTGGAAGGGTATGGAGAAAAATACAAAGTCAAAAAGTTCAAGTGAGAAAGGGTATGATAGGGAGAGACAGTGCATGTGCATGCCGGCATTTTACTTTTTACCCCAAATGGCTTTATTTCCTCATGTCAGCTTTTTTGCACCAGGAGAAGATAAGGGATTAGTTAAAATGGGTGCTACTGTATATGAAGAATAAGTTAGAAGTGGAAGGGGCAAAGTTGCAATGATATAACAACCAAACAAATAAGTATAGGGAGGAGAGGGACGAAGAAATTGAATGTTTTAACGGTACTTTGAAATGGGCACAAAGTCACAAGTCTTTTAGCATAAGGTGGACTCTCGGTACAAGACCAAATGGAGGTGGTTTGGAAGTCTGAGATGAGCTGCAGATCTAAAAGCACAGGGGAAGATGAAAGCACAATGGACTAAAGAAAGTTGTGGATGTCGATCATTTCACTCAAGTGAGAAACGTAGCACTGCTTTTATCTCCTTTTTGTTGCATTGGCCTTGCTGCCTACACACTCTTCTCAATTTATTTTGAAAGAATGTCATCTATGAGAGACTTCTTTTCGTCACTATTTTCTTGTGTGCTTCTATTCATTTGTACTTTTCTAAGATGTAACAGCAAACAAAGAGGAACCTTTATAAACAATTTTCTTTGTACAGTTCAAAGGTAATACAGTGTGTATATTACACATTTCTGAAGGGGTCCTTTACGAAACCATTCTTTCCCAAGAAACAGAAACACAACGTGTCAAATGACAACCATGAACAGCATAGACAACATCTGTGTCATCGTCCCTGCAAAATAGGATGTCGAGCAGTATTTTGGTTTTTTAACTATTTGTGTATAAGCTAAAATGTCCTCAGCAGTGTCAGAGCATCAGATCGAGTAGTGTCGCTCCAGAGCCCAGTCAACTAAAGTGCATTTTCACTGCCTCAACAATGTATTTAAAGCACAGTGTCTTTTACTTTGGGGGATATAATATTATTGGCCATATTAACTTTTTAGTGATTCGTCATTGCGTGAAACCAACTCGACCTCTGTGAGAGGACCATGAATATTGTACAACTGCAGAGAAAGACAGAGAATCTACATTGTGCCAAACTCTGACATTTCAACAGTCCTTCTAAACGGACTATAAAGAGACATTTAAAGGGACGTGCATAACGGGATACACTGTCCAAGTTTACAAACAGAACAACTCCTTGTGCTCTTTTAAACTTTGATTTCAATGTGTTTTTGATCAGGTGGAGACATTCTATCATATAAATGTACAGATCTGCCTCTCTGTGCTGGCTGGGTGTGAATGGTGGTGAGCGGTGTGACTGTGGGTCCGTGTTAAACTTGAGTGCGAGTATCTATGCATGCATGTGACTACTGTTGAGTGTACAGTGCGCGTGTGTGTGCAATCCTGTATAAATCAATGTCTATCGAGGCATTATTACCGACTGGCTGTCCAGTTTTACAATGAGAAAATCCTAAGGTTAAAATCACTAGAATGAATTGCTGATATAGAATGACAAATCTATAAATATATGAATATAAATATATATATATGATTTTTATGTGCAAATGTCCGTGTCTCTAAATGCAACAAATGTTCGCAGAGAAACCGTGGTGTACAACAGGACTTGTTCTATTGACCTAAATGTGGAAACTGCAGATTGGAGCCCCCGTTTTACGCCTAATCAAAAGAGACAGAGATATCCCACCTGAACATGCTCAGGCTCTGGTGCGAGTTGTATGTTATTGTGTTTCAATGCTTCTTAGATGACCCTGCTGAGAGAGGACCGTACTTGAACACAAAGAAAATAAAAAGACTCTTTGCAATCAACACGTGGTCTTCATCTGATGCAGGACCAAAGCCGGACCTGTTTTTCTCTGTTTTTATCTGGTATGGTCTGGTAGATATTGTTCAATTCATAAAAATCATTCAAATATTTTGTATTACTGCAGAATTGGTATTATAATATTTAGTTTCAGGGATTTTGTCATCATATTTAACTCCATCCATCTATCCATTTTCTTCCCCTTAATCAATTTCTGGGTCGGGGGGGGGGGGGTGGCGGCCAGTACACAGAGCACCAGCCCCTCACTGATCCTCCTGCAGGTGGTGAGTCCACAGGAGCTGAGATCTTCCAGCGGGGGCTTCAGGCAAAGTGGGGTTAAGCGTCTTGCCCAAGGACACGACAGCTGTCATCAGTGGGAGTCATGAAGTAGGTCTTGTGATGGCCTCAAACCCACGACCTTCAGGCTCAAAGGCCAATGCTCTACCAACTGAGCTACTGTATGTCAAAAATGGCATAATGGTAGGAGAAATAATAGTTTGCTAATGTTTAATATTTTGTACCACCGTTGCCAATACTGAACTAAAGAAGCCTATTTTTGCATCACTATAGAACATTATTTTATTTGTACACATTTCAAGGAACTCTCAAAGTGCTACAGATTAAAAAGAATATAAATGAGTACCTACATTCAATTACAGTGTGTGAAACCTTAACATATGTAATTGTGACATTGCAGGTCAGATACAATGTGTCAATAATTCCCCTGTGTTTTTTTCAGAGTTCACAAGCATCACTAATAACATCATGATAGAGTCTCGGAAATATTCCCAAGAGGAACAAGCCGACGTGCAAACGCAGGTTGAGTGATTCACACATGCTTCGATAAGCCTCTGTCTCTGTGATACAGTTGATGCAGGGAGTCTTGAACAATTGTCACAGCTTTGGTTTTGTGATGTATCGTGTTAAAGAGTTTTTTTTACCCTATGAATCCAATGTAATGTTAATCTTTGATGTCATTCATTCTTATCAAGGCCTCATAACTGAAGTGCTTTGAATTACCTATTAACAGCATTTGATAGAAAATATGCTTGTTCCCCATCGTCTTTGCAGGTCCACTCTCTAACTCCATTGCATTGATAATTAGCCTTCACAATAGCGTCAAGGAGTTTCTGTCAGTTCTGAAGTTGAAGGCTGACATAAGTTAATGTGGCATGAAAGGGCTCCTCACTTTTTCCAGGCGTTGCCTTCTGAAAATGCCCATTTTCTATCCTCAAACACGCCCCTGGCCTTCACTATCTCTCTGCCGCCCACTCGCTTTTTACCAAATCAGCCGTCACCTCTGTGGACTCTGAATATATGCATGTATGTGTGCGAAACAGAAAAGTAGCAGAGGACAAAGTGAAATGTTGGAGGAAGTGAAGGGGAGCATATATGGTGAATGAATTACATTGGGAGAACTTGAGCATAAAATCAATTAGTGTAAGAAAAAGAAAAAGGCACATCGTGTATATGCGTTTGCGAGATCTCAAAATTTATGTTATCATCTAAAATGGAAGCTGGGCTGTGAAGGAGGCAGAAGGAGAAATGAATGGAGAGAATTATAATTTATGGGTAAAGGAAAGTTTGGGCAGAAGCAAGGAGTTGGAGTTACTTTATTTTATAAAGTTTAATTCTCCAGCTAAACAACAGCTAACTCCATGATGACGTCTGTATGGCTTTCCCATTTCAATTTTGACTTTTTGGATTGTATTTAGACCAATCATTATCGGTTATGGCGATGCATGTCAATAGTGTGGCCATACCTGTATGTGAAAGCCATATCCCATCCGACCAGTGAGGCGAAGCAGTACAGGGCCTGGTAAGTACTGTGATGGGAGTTCTTACAGGGCTGATGTAAGATATTCGTTGCCTCACTCCCATCAGTGCACGCGCCCCAGGGCAGCTGTGGCTACTGTAGTAGTGGAGTGAATGAATAATGACATGTAAAGTGCCTTTGAGTGTCCAAAAACCCCTTTATAAAACCAATGCATTATTATTATATTATTAGTCTAGCTGTGCATTCTCCACATCATCAAAAAATAGGACAATGATTCGGGAAACTCCAAGATATCCTCTGCTCCTCCTCTGTCAGTCTTCATAAAGCTCAGTAAACCTCAAAGCTTTGAAGATTTTGAATTTGACATTTAACAGAGTCATCCTGCACACTACCCTAAAAAAAATCATTTCTATTGAGCAGTGCTGTGACTTCATTACTATTCTGTATCCCTGTATGCCCAGACATTCAATTATGTGTCCTCAAACGCACTAATCAGTCTGCTTTGGTTGTTGGATTTTCAACGGAGCTTGGAGGCAGATGATGTTACAATGGCTCTCAAACATAGTATAATGTTCTCTCTCCAATAAAGCACCACAAGGGGGAAACAACATTTAAAAATATAGCTTATAGACCTTGCTAAAATAATAATTACCTTTTACAAAGTTCTCTCTCTTGGTTTTGGCACTCTTGTCTCAATGTCGTCTGTTTCGTCTTCAGTCACACTACAAAGCGGCCTGACTATGTGTTTGACAGAAGAACAGTTCATTTGCACCTCCAGAACAACGCATGACAGGATGTTTCACTTGGAGCTTCTCTTTGTACTTGTAGATGCGGGTTGATGCTAATTGGTAGTCTGAATGTTCATATTGGTTGAGCAAGGTTTAACCAAGATGGATCCTTTTGTATATTCAATCAGTATAACAGTGATTGCATGATTTTCCCAAGGCTCTCATCATTTTCATGCCTCCCTGGCTCCTGATTTAATGGACGGCAATATGTTCACTGGATTGCATGATTGGTATACCATAAACTGTTCACATAAAATAGCAGACGTTTATTTTAACCTTTTAATGGTTTCCTCGACCATTTGGTGGATCACTTTTTGAGTCTACTTGAAGCTTGGAACTGAAATCTACCTCATTGGGGCATTTCTATCACTTGGTTTTAGGTACTTTTACCATCAAACTGCATCTCAATCCGTTGGTAAAGGCGTATAATTTAAAACTAGGGGTAAAAAATA